AGATGAACCACAGTTTAGTTCAATAGTATGAAGCTGCAGTACCGAAGGCTGCAGTCGACGTGCATATAATCAATAACTTAGGTTTAGGCACACACTGGTGGTGGTTGTGGTAAGGATAATTGGCTTCGGGGGACTGTAAAGAGTAACATAGCTAGCCAGTCAGCTAGCTGGCAGTATCAAAGTAAACAAGGGTCCTGGAATTGCTGTTCCGGTCCTTGGATTGCGGTCCTGAAACTGCAGCCTCCGGTACTCCAGCTACATGCTACTCGTTCAGTTGCACCGTGAACGCTCGTTACTGACTCCTGCAGCACATCTGTGTCACTGCAACAACAAAACAGAAGTAAGAAACCCAGTAAGGTTTGATCTAAACTTTTACAAAATGTTTTTGTACATTTTAAAAAGTGAAATCTTCAGATAGGAACTTTCTTGTTTCTAATGAATCTGTCTCTCAGTGATCTCAGATTAGCCCGCCTTCATGTTCAGCCTGCAGCGCTGTCACTTCCTGCATGTGATTAAACTCTTTGTGTGGGGCCCCGTGTCTCCTCATGAGCTCTTGAATAAAGAAGCAAAATCAGACTGGACTGTTGATTTCATATTACCAAGTGGTGCAATGGGACGGACATATTTTCTGCTCTGTAAGTACAATCTGCCAAAACTGAAATAACTGTAAACTGTTATTATTCACTCATGAGACATTTTTAATCACCACAGAAAAGCAGCAATAAACCGGAGCCTAAAGAGACTAAGAAGCAGCAAACTGACTAATGTGGTGATCAAACAGTTATTCATTGTTCAACAATTTAAATAGCTGTTTACTTTAGAATTAAGGAAAAATCTCAACAATTAAACAATAAAGACAATAGATAAAAAGTCTATGGAGACCGCAACGGGTGCAACAACCATTTTGAGAAATGAAATAAACTGCTATGTCTCAAAGAACTTAAAGCAGAATAGACTTTATTTAATCTGAGACAGACAGAATGAAAATCATCATGTCTTTAAATAGTTACTTTAATATTATTTAATACCCACAAACACAGTATATTAATTTAGGATTGGAAGATTGTATTTTATTTTTGGAGCAGGAAGTTTTTCAGTTCTCTGTCTGGTCTGTTTGTATGTTAAATCTCTGGTTTCTCTTCAGTGCTGATCTCTCTGCTGAGCTGCAGGACCAGCGGAGGTGAGTGAACTCTGACAGTCAAAAGCTGTTCGCACAACGCTTTCTGGTAAAAAGTCATACAAAATGTGTGTTCTGTAAAGAGTTTGAACACAACACAAAAATACCACAAACACACGCTGAGAATGTTTTAACATACATTCACTTAATTAAACATTATTATTAACAGCCACCACACAACAAAAGAGACCAAAACAAAGGACAAGATGACCAAGATGCAAGCTCAATCAGATTGGAAGATTTAAAGACCTTCTTCTTGTAGGATTCTGGCAGTGTAGACACTCATCACTACGTTAAATAGTAAGTTCGAAGTAATAATACACAGCAGGGGTCGGCAAATAAGTTTGGCATCAGAGCAATTTTTCAACCATTATAACGGTGATAATATAAGATATAATATTTGAAAACATTGTTATGGTGTTCGGTTAGCTCAGTTGGGAAAGCGCAGAACTCTCTCTGAAAAGGATGTGTCCAACCCCATGTCAGGACAAATGTTTTTTCTCTCTTGACAAATTGATTCTGCAGCAACTGTTTCTGACATTAGGGCATGTTTTTTATTTTTATTTCCCCAGTATCTCCAGACAGAGGAAATTTAGGGGAATCACGTTTTCTAACGGTTCCTTCAGAAGTGTGTCAAGCAGGCTACAGACTCTTTTAATATCGTTCAGAATCTTTCAAAGTAAAAGCAAAATAAAGAAAGCATTACAGCAAACTAGCTTATTACGCTTTTATTTTGAAGGTAAAACCACTAAAGAGGAAGTCTTTATGTGAGTAACTGTTGCTGTCATTACTGAGATCTATTTCAGCACCGCTATCAAAGTATTTATATTTATATTTTTTGCTCTCATCAAAGCACCATAATCTGGCAGCAGGACAGATATTATTGCTAGAGGGCAGTTTTGTCGATAGTCCATAATCACAGACAGAATTAAAGCTGCAAGCAGCGTTGGGCGGGCCCTCGCACTTATAAGCGCGTCCGCGCGTGAGCCGGCCGAGTTGCATATTCTGGAGCTCTGCCGGTGCGGCTGTGAATTTGTTACGCGGTTCCGACGCCGCATGAAGGTGCTATATGTCACTTCCTGTGTCCCCTATGTGGAGCTACATAGCACTTGCCGCTATGAATATAAATCGGTATTGACGTGTAGATGTCTGCGGGGTGGGAGAGTTATCAAGCACGTAAAGTTTGTTTCAGATGTGAGCATGTACACTGAAGTTACAACAACTTCCTGTGTCATGGCGAAGAGTTGATCTTTGACGCCACGGACACACTGTCAGGTTCAGACACCTATAATATATCAGACAAGGAAGAAAGACAAGAGAGTTAATGGCTTTTTACTCGCGAGGAGAACGGACAGAGATGTACTCAGTTACAAACTCCAACCGCTCTGAGTACATCTCTTCCGTTTCCTCTCTTTTTATTATATTCAGGGTTCCCTAGTTACATGCATGTTGCTGCCCTAAGGGGAAAGGGGGTGCAGCAGCAACATGAAACGTGACATATATTATTGTACAGTACTGTTCCAGGAACTATGTACATTAAGCTCAGTCGCCTCTCAGGGCCAGAAATCGGTTCCTGTTATTTTGTTGTTGTCCGCTCCATGTGTCATGTCCTTCAGTCACACCATCCGCTGTAGACTTCCTGTCAGCACATTTCTGCAGACAGACTTACACTTGCATTAGTACACGTCTTGATATATATATATATATATATATATCGTTTCAGACTGCATTGGCGAGAGTAAATATGAGATAACTTATATACATACTGGTTCCAACACACACCCATTGACAAAAACTCCCACATAGCACAACTTTTCATCGTCAATGCCTTTAGAAGGCGCAGCAGAGATTTGAGGTCGGTCGGACTAAATCCCTAGGAGGAGTTTGTTAAAGTACGAAGTGTGTAAATCATCCAAAAATGGCCGTAAAATTCAAAATGGCCGACTTCCTGTTGGGTTTAGGGCATCGCTTCAAGAGGCTTTTTCGTACGTCTGGACAAGATACATGTGCCACAAAAATTTCCTACATGTAGGTGAAACGTGTGGGGGGGGGCTGCTTTGTTAAATGTCACTTTCTGTTGCCAGCAGGTGGCGCTATGACTGTGGGTGAATGTCGGCATGTACATGTGTTTAGGGCGGGACTCTCATCCTAGATGTACAGTTTGGTGCAGATGTGAGCATGTACATTGAAGTTACAACAACTTCCTGTTTCATGGCGAATCATCGCTACAGACACGCCCATTGACGAAAACTGCCACAAAAATGGCCGTAAAATTCTAAATGGCCTTCCTGTTGAGTTTAGGGTATGGGTTCTTGAGGCTTTTTTGTGCGTGTTGATATGATACATGTCCCCAGAAAATTGTAGGTTGAACGTGAACGAGGGGCTAATTTTTTCAAATTTTCTAGGTGATGCTAGCGAGTCATTTTGCCACGCCCATGCACAAAACCCATAAAATACAAAATCTTTCAACACTTCTGACATGTGTGCAAAAATTGGTGAGTTTTCGAAATTGAGCTTACTTACTGCAGAAAAAGAAAAAAGAACAAATTATCTCTTCAGTTTTAATAGGGAACTCGCACGGTTTGTGCTCGGGCCCTAATTAATGTGTTTCCCTTGTCAATATTTGTATAAACTTTATTGAATGTGTGGTTTATAATGGACTGTGGTGCAGAAACAGTGACAGTGTTTCACATTTTTGGCTTACATTTTCCATATTGTCAGTGGCCAAGTCACAATAACATCTGGTTTTACTAAATAATTAAGTAAATATAATTTCTTAATATAATTATCTAAAGGAAACTTATTTCTTGTATCCTTCTCTCTGCCTTTTGGGCTGTGTCACCCATCGTAGCTGTCCTACGCTCTTTGACAGGGTAGGGGGCAGTGGTAGACTGGACAGATGGTTGTAATTCACAACCCTCACCACTAGATGCCACTAAAACTTACACACTGAACCTTTAAAGAACTTAACTGGTGCATAGTGTGTATTTGACCAATGGAATTTGTCCCTTCATGTATGTTAAAGTTCAGATCCAAGAATCCAATTATTTCATTCACAGCTGGTTTCTATAAAGATGGCTCCCTCATCAGGACTGAGCCTACAGGTCACATGACCATCCACCATGTTAACAAGTCTGATGAAGGCCTCTACAAGTGTGACATCATGAATTCAACATGTTTCACGACAGCAGAGATGATTCATAATGTGACAACATTTCTAACTTTGCAATTTGCAAAGAAACAAGTGGGAAATCTGTCAGAGTTCAACCCACCGTTTGATTTTAACTCTACCTAAACCAGATGGACAGAGATTATGAATTCACTTCTGGTTGTCTTCTGTTAGTGTTGTGTCATAAGACCTAATCATGTGTATGACGTGGGAGGAACGGGTTGTCTCAGTGAGTGATTCGTTAATTTTCACACATGCGTGACGGATTTTGGACTCTTACGTTCACTCGTCACAGAACAGCTGCATGAGCTCCGTCAGCACAGGAAACAGAACTGATTAGTTCACGACTTTCAACTGTGGGTCTGTTTGAGGGCTGCAGCACCGCAATAACCAGCCTAGTTCAAATTAACGAAATTAACGAAACAACTCGAAAAAAGATTAGTTCATTTTAATGAACAAGATTTTAATGAACGAGTCTGTCAAAAGAGTCGAACTTGCCATCACTACTTTCTGTTGGCATGTTGTTGAATGAAGTATCCATTTATTTGATTTTCTGTGTCTTTAATTATAATTTGATGTTCATTTTAGAGAAACCCCCCACTTTAAGTCCTCCTTCAACCACCTCGCCTCCTGGTTCCTCCTCCTCATCCTCACCACCACTACTTCTGAGTCCTCCTCTCGTCCTCTCTCTGTGTTATCATCTGCTGTTCTATCATTCTTTGTTCTGGTTCTCCTGTGTGAACTGGTTCTACTGGTTCTACTGGTGAGACGATGCATGCATATGAAACCTAAAGGTTAGACACAGTTTTTTATGTTTGCACATTTAATGTCACATTTTACTGTTGACAAGTTACAAACTGTCTCTTTAAGTCAGACGTCCATTTGGATTCTCATTAATCACATTGCTGTTGTTAATAAAACAATCTCACCACAGGGTCCATTTAGTGAGCTGTGGAGCTTTTGATCAAATCACATGACCTTCCCTGATTTAAATTTCTGCTCCTTTTGGTTCATTCAGCTGCTGAAGAAGAAGCTGGCGATGATGACATCACAGAGGACATCACATACAGTGATGTCAAAATATCGCGTGACCTACAGCAGCCAATCAGATGCAGCAGAGGTAATGATGTTTTATTGATTTTGTTTTTCGGGGACAGTGACTTTGTGTTCTTGTTCTTATGTCTTTGTGAGGACCAGTTTGAGTTTTAGACCTTGTTTGCATAAATTAGTACTTTGCATAAACTTGTTTTGTTTTGTGTCATATTTGATACATTCGAAATTGATTGCAATTGCAATGTATTTCTCACAACACGTTTAAACATCCTCCTGCTTGTGGAGAGGATGGCAATGATTAGGAAGTGAACCTTGGCAACATCCAACTATTCGATCATTTTTATACAACAGCAATACAAATTTCTCAATTTCTACTCTAAACATACCTCATGACGTCAATCTTAAACCTTTTTTATTTTACTTCAATAATCAAAATTGTATGTCGCTTAATGAATGCATAATGAATGAAATGCAATACCGTATACCTTATAAATGGCTGTATCTAATTTTACTATAAAATAGGTTTTGAAATATAGCGACCAGTGTAGTCCGGTCCACTATATTTAGCGCCCCTAGTGGCAGTGACTGGTCTGTGTTAGTAACTATTTTGGTTATGGTCTCTGGGTAAGTGTGACAACATTTTTCACTGTATTCAGAATTTTTACAATTGATTTAAGGAGAAAATAATCAACAGATTGATCCATAATGAAACTTTTTATTTTATTTATTTATTATTATTTATTAATTATTTCTGAGACAAAATAATTCAACCTCAACCAAGTACATTAATGCATGAGTAATAATAATCTACTGTATATAATAATAATAATAATGATAATAATAATAATAATAATAATAATAATAATAATAATAATAATAATATTATAAAAGTCATTGGGGACAGAGTACTTTTACTTTTAATAGTACATTTTTCTGATTATTTAGTTCAATTCAGTTTAGTGTCCTTTATTGGCATGAATATTTCAGTCAAACAATGTTGCCAAGGAAGTTTCAAAATCAAAAAGTTTACATTTGAATATGACATGACAAGATTAATCCAATCAAGACTGTTCAATTTAGCAGCACAAAAAATAACAAATACAGATAGAACGTAAATTAAAAATAAAAGTGAACAAGATGTAACCTGCCATGCAGCCAACGTTAAGAGCCACAGTCACTCGCTGTCCCTCAGCTTGTGACACAGGGACACATACTTGGTGGCAAGGTTTGCCGGATGTCCTCCTAGGACTATTCTTATTTCTAATTTATTGTTATCTTCAAGTTCTTTGAAATCCGGTATTAATAGATTTCTCAATTTCTCAAAATATTGCACTTTTATGCCTCTATATTTATCACATTTCAGGAGAAAATTTGTCTCTAGCCGTGTTTCCATAAAGGTTTTTTTATGCGCATTTTGAAGTATCGCATTAGAAAAGGTTGATGGAAAAGGCAAAAAAGATTTTACGCTCGCTTAAGGTGGTTTTTGCCTTTGTCGAAAAATAGTTAATGCGCTAAATGGGAGATGGAAACACTTTTGCCGAATAAGTTCTGACGTTATGAACTTGTAACTCACGTCTGATCAGCTGTTTCTGCTGTCGGCGCCGGATATCCCCATAACGTGCGGAGAAATGGCTGGAAGCAGTTTGCCTGCTTGAAACACATTCGTGAGGACCTCTCTCCATTTTTCTAAGATCAGTGACTGGTTTTGTTTCTGGTTTGGAGACCATACGTCTTGTTTATTACAGCCACGTGTAACGTCAACTACTGATGTAACTCCGCTTGCCGAACCCTGGTTTATTGGCTCCAAACCAGCTGATGGAAACTCACATATTTCGCATATACTGTTTTTATTTTCTTTTTTGCGACATTTCAAAAGTATCTTAAAATTCGCATGACAATTATACTGAAACATGGCTTCTGTCTCCACCTCACGTGTTGTACAGTGCTCACATACTCTATATTCTTTAGGTAACCAGCAGTGTTTATGTTTATTATTATTATTTAAACTGCAGGGTCACTGAGGCTGTATTTGGTAAGAACCCGCCTCTCTGACAGCAGAGAGATGTTCAGCCATTTCATAATCTCTGTTTAGGGCCAGATAACATATAGTTTGTTGTTTTTTTTGTCTCTTCCTCCCAAACTCCCAAGTATTTTTGCTTTTAGTGATCATTTGGTTTACTCTAATCTGTGTTGTAAAGCAGTGCCGGCTTGATAAAGGTTTGTGTGACATGTTTCAGGATTTTTTAGTCTCAGGACTAGCTGGCATAAGGGACTGTTTTTTGGGGGTTCAGCTCTTGGGTTTTTGAAGAGAGTCTTAGGGACTTGATCTGAGGTGCATCAGAATGTTTTGCGCTCGTTTTTGGGTTATCTGTTATCAGTGGAAACCGCCCTAATTCTGCTCTACATGCATTTGTCTTTGAATGCGTCGGGTGTTTCTACACATGGGGTGGCGACGGTGCAGTGGATAAGACATGTGCCTTCAGTGTGAGAGTCCCGGGTTCAAATCTCACTGACACACCCACCAATCTATATACTTAACCCCTAGTTGCTCCAGAGGCGTGCGACCTCTGACATGTAAGCAATAGTTGCTTTGGATAAAAGTGTCAGTTAAATCTGCATGTAGGGTCTCAATGGGATTCTTCTCCCATCTGTTGTAGTTTTTTATATATTATACTGGATCTGAATACTTCCTCCAGCCTATTGCACAAAATGTTACTGTTTGTGCAATAGGCTGTTTATGTTTTTGTTTATAAATGTCTCAACTATTTAATAGCGGCGTTATGTAATTACTGATTTCTTGACAGAGCACTGGTGTCCTGCAGTTTGTGTTAAATCGAATTGGGATGGTTACTTGAAACTAAGTGAATATGGCTCAGCCCCACCTAGAATATGTTTCACCAGCTGCCACTGAGTCTCATTTATATTCCTGAGTTGCTGCAGATCAGTGATTTTCTCTCTTAATTAAGTTCATGAAGTTTGTTTCTGCAAAAGCACAAAAGGAGAAAAAAAGTCACAACTTGTTCGTGTTTATATTTAAGAGACACCAATATTTTACATGTATCTTAATATTTCAATCAGAATATTGACTCACATTTAGAATTCACTTTAAAAAGTTAATTTAGCAGTTTGTGTGACGTCCTGACATCAAGTTCAAGGTAATTTATTGTTATTTGTCAACATACTGAGTATTCAAGTGAACAAAAGGGTTTCTCACAGTCCAAGGTGCTAAAAACAAAATAGTCAACTTGTTCTGCATGTGCTTAACATGTTGACTCTTATCTTGATAAAAGCCAGCAGCTCTGGGGCCGTTGCGTTTTCCGACTCAGATAAATCAGCTTCACTTGTGTTTGGTCTATTTTCAGCTTTCACAGCAGCAGCAGTGTGAACAAGAAAGAAATCAAATGTAAAATGTACTTCAGTATAATCGGTCTGGATTCTGCTATGTCCTGATATTTGCTGCCATGCTGATACATTTTCTATGGTGTCCTATTCTAATACTGTACAAAATAATATTATTATTGATTATAATAGGAACATAATAAGCTGAATACTTTTTGTATGATGACTACTGCAGTAGCAGCAGTAACTATACTAACAGCACTGTTATCAGCTGTGTGTATTTTATTTTCAGAGAGTGATCCAGCTGCAGTCTGCTCAGCAGTGACAGGACCAGAAGACATCAGTAATGGACAAATAGTGCTGAAAGACGTCAAATCAAACAGCACGAGGGTACAGCTGCTCTTTGTTTCCGTCATGAACCAACACTTGAAAAATCTGTTAGAGAAGAATACAGGAGAGTTTTTGTTGTTTTCACAGTCCAAAGAAATGTAGGATGTACTTTAGTTGTTGTAGACACATGGTGATACCTACTGTTGTGGTTCCTGGCAGCAGTATGTTTGCATGTTCCACTAGAGATAACAGAAGGTGGTGAGGGATCAAGCCTGACAGCAGGACAGGATCATTTAATTATACAGCACTTTTAAAAAGGCTTTATAAAATGGAGATCCCTCACTGGCTTCCCACTACTATGAAACTGATGAGGTTTGTTGAAATACATGACCAAGCCAGAGAGAGACATCTGTCAAACATCTGATCTCTGCAGTTGTATTCAGGAACTTTACCCCTGCAACATCTGTGTGCTATTTTAAAGCACCTTTTTACCCTGAATCAAGTCTGACAGGCAGAACTTCACCCACTTTATTGATTTATATGGTAACTTTGAACTGTCATGTTCTAGATCATTCATTTCGATTGTTGTTGAAAGTTAGAAATGAAAGTGTACTCAAATTTTTTTTGGCACAGCCACCTTAATAAAATTGATTACCACCCCAGTGGTGAGGGACATTTGATAAGATGCTATATACTGTATATAATATGTATCGCCTGGGTTTGAGTTAAAAGGTGAACAGCAGCATACAAGTGTTCTCATATTAGGTGGTGACAGCCTCTGATGGTTAGTATAAGAGAGGCCTCCGATTCGTCCATGTGCATGGCTGTCATGTTTCTACAATTGTGAGTGGTTAAGGGGCGGGGCTAACGGTCAGCCTGCTGCAGGGAGTGTGTTTCTGTAGCGTTAGCGACCAGCTGCAGAAGAAAGAAAAGTGTAATTTAATTAATAAACAGAGACAGTCAGTAGCCTGGCTAATATATAAGTTTGTCACACTGCTACACAGTTTTTGTGTTTTGTACTGTGTGTTCAGAGCTATTAGTCTGCAGATAGCAATAGGTTAACGTTACTTTGAATCGCTGTCCAACAGGCTCTCTATTGAGCCGCATAACAAACAGGTGGAGGCCCAGAACAGTCGGATCATAACGTTTATTAAACTCCACGCCCATAAATCTGTTGGGCATGCCGTCGAGACAGTGGCTGATTGTCAGAAATATCTATTATACTAGTATATTTCAACGTGCTCCCCATCTCCTTACAGTAGCCTACACATGGTGCGATATACAAAGATTCTGTAGTGGGAGCATTATTTGATAGGGGATATTAGTCGATCAGAATACGCTACCCCTGAAATGATGTTATAATATGCTTAAAAACCAGAAGATGTCAAAATACTGTGAGTTATACCTTTATGGGATTGGAAATGGGAACACATAAGGTAGCATTTTTCGATAGTGCAGAGCGGCTCGACAGACTCTGCTAGATTTGTGTATGGCTGTATGAAATGTGCCGAGCCACTCTTTCCGTTTGGATATCAGGATCTCTATGGAAAGCGGCGCTGAGAAAGAATCTGGATCCCTAAAACTTTGTATGTGCGCGTCGCTGTTGACTTCAGTGGTGTTGAGCTCACTGCTGAGGCTCCTTTGTTCTGAGCCTGGTTTGTGGTTTGTGGTACTATAACTGTCAATGTCACTGTCAATGCACTCCCCCCCCCCCCCTCTCTCTCTCTCTCTCTCGTTAAGTGTTTTGTGGAGCCAGGCTGTTTGTTGACACAGTAGCAAGAGAGAGTATTGCAGTTTTACTGGTATCTGTGTTTTGAAATGGTTTGTACGCCACCAATTTTTACATATAAATATGACACTGGTCATATCTGTGGTTCAAAAAATGGGATTTTTCAGGAATAACTATCTTGTTATCAGCAAGAATAACACCGAACTAATGAAATGGCATGGTAATAAATAATTACACAACTCTATACAGACACATATTATATATTTCAATTAAATTGTTATGATATAGTCTAATATGAAAGAAAAATATATTTGTCTTTCTATATATCTTGAGTAGGCTTGTCCCCAGTAAATGTTTTGTTCTTTGCAGTCAGTGCACTCCTAAAAGCAATATTTGTCTTTTTAAGGAAAAGGAAAACTTGTGCATTTGAAGAACAATTACACATGATAACACATTAAACAGGATTTTTATGGAAATCAAAATTTTAACTGAACTGGTTTTAGTCTATGGACATTAGACAATTAGTAACATTAACTGTAAAATAAGAAACCAAAGTATATCAGTCTGTGATTCCTTAATTCATATTTTTACATAGTTTTCAACTAATCTATACTGCAGAATAGAATTCCTAAAATCCAGTCATGGTTTTTGGTTTTAGTGCGCCACCCCAGGATTTCCACTGGCCCCATCTGGCCCTAGGAATATTTTCTAGGGGCGCCACTGCTCTGTGGTCATCCAGTTTACTGTTTTTTCAAAACACTTCAGCTGAACGTGGCTCTACACATGTTTCAGTGCAGGATTGTTAATTAAAAAATTAAAATTTACATTAATAAATTATAAATGTGCAGATTTACATATCTCTGGACATTGTGCTCACATACAATATATCTAAATATGTGGAAATTGTTTTCCTGTTGTGTTTTACTCAAAAATTATTGTTGATTTATTTGTTTTAATGTAAGAGAAGACAGACTCAGCAGACCAAAGATACTTGATTGTGCATCTGCATCTTTTGTTATACCTCAAACAACAGCAGCAACTTCCTCATGTTGATTCCTATGAACTGGGTTCTGACCTGACGCTGGTGGTTTCTCACTATAGTGTGGTCAGTTTTAACTGATGTGTCTATTTTCTGCCTTGTGCTGAAATGTGTGAACTTGTTTTCCCAGAAGCGAGAAGCTTTGTGGTACTTTCCAGTTATTTTTGGTCTTTTCAGCTGTCAACGCACTGCTGCCATTTATAATACCTACAAACATTTTTTCCTACATGTATTATTACATGTTTTGCAGTACTAGTAGTGCAAGCAGCAATAAATATATTAAATGGGCTATATGTAAGGTTTTTCAATGAAATTAATCAAATTTTCATTGTCTTATAGTCAACGGGCTCAAAACTCAATTAGAAATAAAGCACACGCCTGTTTTCTCCATTGCTTGCATCAGACACTATTGTGCTTTTAATGTGTTGTCTCCAGGTCGAGTTCGGCTCTTTGCACGCTCCCGAGCCACTCTCGCACCACAGCGACAACACGGCAGCTAACGCCTAGTGATGGCAAGTTCGAGTCTTTTGACAGAGTCGTTCATTCGAATTTCGTTCATTAAAATGAACTAATCTTTTTTTCAGTCATTCCATTTCGTTCATTTGAACTAGGCTGGTTATGGCGGCGCTGCAGCCCTCTAGTGCTGTTCTCAAACACGGAAGGCTGCCTAGCTTACTTTATTTGACAAAGTATAATGCACAAATTCACCTCTTGATTACTGAATCTCATCATTATATAAACCCCCCTGGGCCCACAACCAAATTAAAACCATGTTAAAACCACAGAAATATGTAATCACCACTACTCCGGCTAAATCCTTCCATTTTCACAATCTTTCCTGAGTAGTATACAACCAGACCAGCCACATAAAGGCTTATGTATAAACACACTCTTATTAAAATTCAACCAATTTAATAATAATCTGGATCAAGCCACCAAGAACTCCAGCACAGAGAAAGGAACACCTTCACCAGCCAGGAGCTGTGAAACAACAGCACGGCTCTGTTGGTAAATAAAAAGGAAAAGTTACGTTGCGTTCTGTGGCGGACCCGGATCAGCTGTTAGCTGTTTACAGAGCTAACGCTAACTTTGCTACATGGCTGTATTTTAATGTTTTAATAACCGGGTCTGTTTGTTTTGGAGAGGAGACTACTTCTGAGGTACAGGTGAAACAAAATAGAAAAATTAGCAAATCGTGCAAAAGTTCATTTATTTCAGTAATTCAACTTAAAAGGTGAAACAAATATATTATATAGACTCATTACATGCAAAGTGAGATATTTCAAGCCTTTATTTTATATAATTTTGATGATTATGGCTTACAGCTTATGAAAACCCCAAATTCAAAATAGAATATTGTGAAAAGGTTCAGTATTGTAGACTCAAAGTGTCGCACTCTAATCAGCTAATTAATCCAAAACACCTGCGAAGGGTTCCTGAGCCTTTAATTGGTCTCTCAGTCTGGTTCAGTGGAATTCACAATCATGGAGAAGACTGCTGACCTGACAGTTGTGCAGAAAACCATCATTGACACCCTCCACAAGGAGGGAAAGCCTCAAAAGGTAATTGAAAAAGAAGTTGGATGTTTTCAAAGTGCTGTATCGAGGCACATTAACAGAAAGTTAAGTGGAAGGGAAAAGTGTGGAAGAAAAAGGTGCACACAGCAGAGATGACCGTAGCCTGGAGAGGATTGTCAGGAAAAGGCCATTCAAATGTGTGGGGAGCTTCACAAGGACTGAGGCTGGAGTTACTGCATCAGAGCCACCACTCACAGACGGGTCCTGGACACGGGCTTCAAATGTCGTATTCCTCTTTTCAAGCCGCTCCTGAACAACAAACAACGTCAGAAGCTTCTTACCTGAGCTAAAGAAAAAAAGAACTGGTCTGTTTCTCAGTGGTCCAAAGTCCTCTTTTCTGATGAGAGCAAATTTTGCATCTCATTTGGAAACCAAGGTCCCAGAGTCTGGAGGAAGAATGGAGAGGCACACAATCCAAGATGCTTGAAGTCCAGTGTGAAGTTTCCACAGTCTGTGTTGGTTTGGGGAGCCACGTCATCTGCTGGTGTTGGTCCACTGTGCTTTATTAAGTCCAGAGTCAGCGCAGCCGTCTACCAGGACATTTTAGAGCACTTCAAGCTTCCTTCAGCAGACGAGCTTTATGGAGATGGTGACTTCATTTTCCAGCAGGACTTGGCACCTGCCCACACTGCCAAAAGTACCAAAACCTGGTTCAATGACCATGGGATTACTGTGCTTGATTGGCCAGCAAACTCGCCTGAC